TTGGTGGCTCCATAGGTGGGCCAGATGAGGGCAGGCAAAGCTAGGGTACTGCTGGACAGTGCTGGGCCTCACCTCCTGGGGAGCTGCTGTCCCCACCCATGCTGGCCCCCCTACAGGGCCCCCTGCAGCTCAGTGCCCACCTGTGCTCACGGGTGGTGGGCAGAGGATGCTGGGGTCAGCATTCAAAACATGCCAAGTGCTGAGCGGAATGGTCATGCAAAGGCCCTGTGACCCTGCAGCTGGATCCCTGCAGCATCCGGCTGCCTCCCAGGCCTGTAGAAGGCGAGGCCCCCTCCCCACTGTGCCTCCCAGCTCCGGGGCTGTGCCCTCCTGCAGGGTGGGCCTGGCACGCCCCAGGCCTGGCGCACCCTGATACTGGCAGGGTGTCAGTGCTGTTGGCTGGACCTTGGAATCTCGGGCCTTGGGGTGAGAATCCCTCCTGGGCTTGGCGGCTCGGTGACTGTCACTGCAGAGCCATCTCATGCCCAAGCCAGGGTCCCTGCCCGGGGCCTCGAGACTTCCTCTGTCTACCTGCCAGCTGCCCCTGTCCCTTTTCTCGAGGCTCCTGGGCAGGTCCTCCCTGCCTCCCTGGGTGTGGTCGCCTCTTGGGGCCTCCACACTGCCCCCCACTCAGTCTTGGGAACCCCTGGCCCCACGCTAGGCTGGCCAGGCCCTGGGCGGGTGTGGAGCAGAGGGTGGGGTTGGGGGACTGAGAACTGGGATGAGGGTGGCCAGGTCCCCTGGGTGCCCCCTGGCCCCCGAGCCTTCTCCTGTCAGAGCTCTTGGCCTGCACATCCCCCACCCTTGGGAGGCGATGCCAGGTAAGTGCTGGCCTAGTAGGGGGCTCCGTTCCCTCCCCAGGGCCTCAGTTTTGCCAGGGGGGAAAGCTGAGGAATCAGGAAGCTGCTTTTTTTGCAGTGTGTACCCCATCTGGGAGCTGAGGACTGAGCCCTGCAGCCCCGTGGCCTGCAGCGCCCCTCCCACCCTGTGGGCCCTGGGTGCTGCCCGAGGCCCTGGCTTACCTTGTGGGGTGCAGGTGGCTCCCCTTCCCCGGCCTGAGTGTTGGCTGCAGCTTCAAGCGTAACCAGGCCCCCTTCTGCAGCGGCTTCCTCTCCCAGCTGCCTGAGCCCGACAACACACAGGCACTGTGGCCCCCACCCTGGCTGGTCGGTGCCCAGCAGCAGTGGCGGGGGTAGAGTTTCAGCCCTCCCCCAGCCTCTGGCCAGCAGGGAGCCTGGCTGGTTGTATTTTAAGCCCCTGAGTGGTTCCGCTGGAACTCCAAGCCCTTCTGTCCCGTGGACACTGTGCTGCCTTCCTGAGGGCCCACACAGGCTCGAAAGCACGCGGGCGCTGCCCCCTCGGGTGCAGGATCTATTAATACCCTGCTCCTCCCGAGCCCTCCTCACTCTGGTCTCCTGGGTGGGGGGGTGCGCCGTCTGGTGTGGGCACAGTGGAGGCATCTGCCAGGGCTCAGGGTGCTGGTCCTGCCCTGCCCTCCCAGCCACACTGACCCCCAGGTGCAGGCCTGGGAACCTGCACCGCTCTGAGAGGAGATACTGTCTGCCTCGCTGTGGCCCTGCTGCTGGGTTGGGCCTGGCTTCTCTGGCCTAAGAACAGGGTCCTCGTCTGGGTGGGACAAGGCCCAGGGGGACTTGACCTGTAGCTGGGTACTGGCTGAGCCCTGCCTCCCTGGCCCTTTCCTTGACCATGCAGAGAGGGCCTGTCTGCTCCAGTAACTTGGGAATCTGTCACCTCTGCAGGAACACACTCGTGCAAGGAACATAATCCAGAGTGTCTCTCACAGCTCAGAAAGGAAATGGATGATCTTTCTCACGGATTCTCAAGACAGCTGGGGTTTCTCAGGGCCCAGTGAGCTTCCGGGGCCTGCGCTGGGTGCCCGGCCAGGCTGACTTCACACTCTGTGGTGCCAGCCTGAGGCCCTGCCTGCCGTGGGGACCTTGCTGTACCCCCATGCTGTTGTGGGACGGTGGCACGGCTCCTTGGGGGCTCGGGCTGAGTGTTTTATATTTAGCTGGGCCATGGCTCTGGTGGCACTCGGATTTCACCTGGCATAGAAGTTGGCAGCTCGGGGCGGGCTCGGGCCATTTTCCAACACCGTGGCAGAATTTGATCGCTGTCCGCCTGGCGCAGCCCTTGCGTGGGGAGGTCAGTGGCGGGGGCGCCACTGGCAGTGGGGTTCACTGGCTGGGCCGAGCAGAGAAGTAAGCCGGCGGCAGTGGTGCACAGCATGGACCTCAGCTTGAGCTTGGTGGCCCGGGAGCCCAGCCAGGGCCTCAGCCCCAGTCTCAATGGCCTACCCCGGGCCCCGCCCCCCAAGACGGCCAAGAAACCCAAAAAGGCTGTTCTCTTCTTCGAGGTGGAGATTTTGGATGCAAAGACCAGAGAGAAGCTGTGCTTTCTGGACAAGGTAGGACCATGTCGCTGGCGGCAGGAGGCCAGGAAGCACGTTCCTCCAGCCTTTGGTGCCCACCCCTGCCCTTCAGAGGGCACAGTAGGCGTGCTGGCCCTGGGTGAGGGAGTGGGCAGCATGGCCTGGCAGGCCTGGGTAGGACACAGAGCCGCCTCAGCAGGCTCTGCAGGGCTTGGGAAGGAGGTGGGGCGCCCCTGCCAGGGCCTGCCTTCTCCCACCCGGCAGTGGGGTGTTGCCAGCTGGCTGGTAACATGGGATCCCAGGGCCTCAGCTGTCCCCACACTGGCAGGGCCCATGCGGCTCCCAGCCCCGTCCCCAGGTTCCTGGGTATGGGCCCTAGAGCCACCTCCCTGGCCCACTCACCAGGTAGAGCCCCAGGCCACCATCGCGGAGATCAAGAACCTGTTCACCAAGACGCGTGAGTCTGCCTGCCATGCACACCCCATCCCTGCTAACCCCCCTCCGCCATAGCCTTCCCCACTCCCCCGCGCCTGCCCTCAGGGCTCCCCTGGTGACGCTGCTGTCTGCCTGCAGACCCGCAATGGTACCCGGCCCGCCAGTCCCTGCGCCTGGACCCGAGTAAGTGCCACACCCAGGGCGGGGGGGGGCGGCGGCGGGGCCATGGCAGCTCCTGACCCGCACCCTCTGCAGAGGGCAGGTCCCTGAAGGACGAGGATGTGCTGCAGAAGCTGCCCGTGGGCACCACAGCCACGCTGTACTTCCGGGACCTGGGGGCACAGATCAGCTGGGTGACGGTGAGTTCCGGCCCCGCCCCGCCCCCATTGCAGGGGTGGCCACAGAGGTGACCGCTGCGCCCTGACCCAGGTCTTCCTGACGGAATACGCCGGGCCCCTCTTCATCTACCTGCTCTTCTACTTCCGGGTCCCCTTCATCTACGGCCACAAATACGACTTCACGTCCAGTCGGCACTCGGTGGTGCAGTGAGTGTGGGGCGAGTGGCTCGGCCGGGTAGGGGCGGGGATCGTGCTGCCTGCACTGTGACCCCCCATTTCCCTCCCTGCAGCCTCGCTTGCATCTGCCACTCATTCCACTACGTCAAGCGGCTGCTGGAGACGCTCTTTGTGCACCGCTTCTCCCACGGCACCATGCCCTTGCGCAACATCTTCAAGGTGAGCGCACAGCCGCATCCACCCGACCACGCCCACGGAGTCCCAGCTCCCATGACTGGGGCAGCCCCGCGCATCCCAGCAGGTCTATGGGACCTTAGCTGTCTGGGGCTCTGCCCACATGAGGCTGTGCCTACCTTGGGCCACACCCAGCAGCCTGGGACTATGGATTCCCGGAGCCCCACCCACCCATGACCACACCCACCAGTCCCAGCCTACAAGACCAGGGCCACTCGGCTCCATCACCGGCCACACCCACTAGACTCCACCCTGTGAGGCAAGGCCCCACTCACCACAGAGCCCTGCATGCAGGTGCTAACCCCTGCCCACGGCCCTCCCTGTCGCCCCCTTTCAGAATTGCACTTACTACTGGGGCTTCGCCGCTTGGATGGCTTACTACATCAACCACCCTCTCTACACGCCCCCCAGTAAGTGCCAGGGTCCCCCTTCTCCCCCAGCCACTCGCAACCCCTCCCGCTCTCACGCCTCTCTGCTTCCCCGCAGCTTACGGAGCTCAGCAGGTTAAGCTGGCGCTGGCCATCTTCGTGGTAAGCAGGTGGGGTGCTGGGGGATGCAGTGGGGGTGGGAGCCCAGGCTGACCCGTTCCTCCCGCAGATCTGTCAGCTGGGCAACTTCTCCATCCACATGGCGCTGCGTGACCTTCGGCCAGCCGGTGAGTGGACTGCCCGCCTGGCTGGCTGGGTGGGTTGGGTTGGCTGCACCTGGCCAGGGCCCCACCCCTTGCCTCTGCCTCACCTGCAGGGTCCAAGACCAGGAAGATCCCGTACCCCACCAAGAACCCCTTCACGTGGCTTTTCCTGCTGGTGTCCTGCCCCAACTACACCTATGAGGTGAGGGCAGGGCGGCAGGGCACCGCACTGGGAGGCTGAGGCAGGAGAACTGCAGGTTGCATCCTGCCTGTCTCAGTAACTGGGCTGGCAGTGTAGCTTGGTGTGAAGCCCTGGAGTCAGTGCCCAGTGTGGGAAAATAAGGGTGGTGGCTCAGCCCTGGGCAGCCTCTGGGCACCAGGCTGCGGCCACCGGAACCCCAGCCCTCCCTGCCCACAGGTGGGGTCCTGGATCGGCTTCGCCATCATGACGCAGTGCCTGCCAGGTGAGCCCGCCCTCCCCACAGCTGCGGCCAGTGCCTGCCCTCGGGCCGCAGCCTCTGACCCCCCTGCTGCCCTCAGTGGCCCTCTTCTCGCTGGTAGGCTTTACGCAGATGACCATCTGGGCCAAGGGCAAGCACCGCAGCTATCTGAAAGAGTTCCGTGACTACCCGCCCCTGCGGATGCCCATTGTCCCCTTCCTGCTGTGAGGCTCTGCCATGCCCTCCCCAACTGGAATAAACTCTGCCCCCTGGACTCGGCTCTGTGTTCTTTGGGGCCAGGACGCGCGTCCAGCGCCACCGCAGGGAGGAGGCAGCTCAGGCCACACACTGGGTACTTTTCTGACTTTATTGGAGCCTGCAGTGGATGCTACAGGGCTACCTCGCCCGCGCGCTGGGCCGCCCGCGCCTCCCGCTGCTCCCGCCGCTTCTTCCGCAGCAGCAGCCGCCGCTCCCGCTCATACTCCTTCATGCGCTGCACGTAGCTGGGGACAGAGCAGGGCGGGGTCAGGCAGCGCGCGCGCACGCACACACGCGCACACACACACACACACACACACACACACACACACACACGCGCGCGCGCGCGCGCCTCGGGTCTCCCTGCCCGCGGGGCTCAGGCAGCACGCACAGACACACACACACACACACACACACACACACACACACACACACACACACACCCGGGTCTCCCTGCCCGCGGGGCTTAGGCAGCACGCGCGCGCGCGCGCGCGCACACACACACACACACACACACACACACACACACACACACACACACGGGGTCTCCCTGCCCGCCTGCCCGGACTTACTCCAGGTGCTCGCAGTGGTCCCAGGCGTGCTGCTCGTGCCTGCAGGCCAGGAAGTTCGGGAAGCTGTCACGCTTGCACTTGAGCAGGCGGATGAGGTGGTGCGCGCAGTAGTCCCGCTGCTGCAGCGTCAGCTGCGCGTCACTCATCTCCTGCTGCGTGGCCACCATCACTGCGGACAGGACAGGGAGCTCATGGGCCCGGGCCCTGAACCCTGAGGTCCAGAGGTGGATGGGGCTCCCCCTCTTCCCATGGGGTCCCAATGCCAGCTCTGTTGGGTCTCCTAGCCTCAACAAGGTAATCCCAGCTGCTTGGGAGGCTGAGGCAGGATTCCACCTTCGACCCCAGCCTCGCAATTTAGTGAGATCATGTCCCCTAACTGAATCTGCTCAGACATGACCCACAGGGCCATGAGACACTTCCCCATCCTCTCCCTGAAGTGCTTTTCACAAGGCGCCCTCCCCAGGTTCCCTCCAGGCTGCCCCAAATCCAGATGCTAACGCTGGGCTTCCTGAGACATCTGCCATTCTCACCACTGGTGGCTTTCACTGTCATCCAGGGTGTTGCGGCCAATTTGGGGGCCCCACCCAGCACTTGTATCCACCTCAGCCCCCAGGGAACCTGGGGTTCAGGTCAGCTCTGTGCCCAACCCCCTCCCCCCATGCTGTAAGCCAGGGCTTATACCCTGGGGATGCAACTGGAACCGTGCCAGGTCCTCCTGCCCGTGAAGGGGATGCACTCGCCAAACAGAGCAGACACTGCAGTCTGTGGCCCGGGGGCTCAGGGAGGTGGCAGACGGCGGCACATGCCTGCCATCCCGGCCGAGCAGGAACACAGATTCAAGGCCAGCTGGGGCAGCTCAGGGACTTGGTGAGACTCTGTCTCAAGGAGTAAAGCCTGGGGATGTGGGTCGGTGCTGAGCGCTTGCCTAGCACACGTGAGGCCCTGGGTTTCCATCCTTAGCAACGCCTCGCCAAGAAGGAAGAAAGGAATTAAGAAGGCAGCGGGGAGAGGATGCTGGGAGAGAAGCCTGGGAGGTGGGAGGCGAGGGCTGGACTGGAGCTGGGGAAGCATATTCCCCGCCTCCTGGGAGGATGTGGGTGTCAGACACCCAGCGGGTAGAGCACAGGGGTCTGGAGCAGTCTTGGATCCGCTGAATGAAAGATGCCCGTTAACATAAAACTGAGGTCCCTGGAAGTGGGGTTCAGGGTTAAAGCCCCCAGAGATAAAACAGGAGCACTGACACAGGGAAGGCACAGGGGCCGGGGGACTGGCAGGGAGCCCTCGGGGGTGTTGGGCAGAAGGGAGAAGGCCCAAGCCTTGGGGCCTGAAAGGAGGAGACAGGGAAGGATTGAGGGAGCCTCAGGGACACAGGGTCCTGAGGGCCAACAGGTGGCAGTGGTCACAGTCAGGCTAAGAATAGTGCTGAAACAGGTGTGGTGGTGGCGGCTTCTACATCAGCACCTGTGACAGGAGGTGAGGCGGCAAGGGACCAGGGGAGACGGGTCAAGAGGGACCAGCACCTGGGGGCTGAGGAGATGGGGTACAGGGAGGTACGGGGTTCACATGCAGCAGAGGCTCAGCCACAGAGTGGGGTCACACAGACAAACAGGCGAGAGCAGCAGGAGTCTGAGGGGGCGGAGGGGACTGTTTTCTCAGTCAGGTGTGCTGGGGTGCTCCTGTAAGCACTGCACTTGGGAGGCTGAGGCAGGAAAATCACACCTTCAAGCCCGGCCTGGGAAACTTAGCAACCTAACAAGACTATTGAAAAAAAAAAAAATGGAGGTTGAGGATGAGGATTGGGGGAGATAGCCCAGTGTGAAGACCTCCGGTTCAAACCCATTCAATCCCCAGACCTGCAAAAAAGGAAAGCTGGGCGCAGTGGTGCCGGCCTGTAATCCCAGCACTCTAGGGAGGCTGAGGCAGGAGGATCACCGCGAGTTCGAGGCCAGCTTGGGCTGCAAAGAGTTCCAGGCCAGCCTGAGCCATATAACGGAACCCTGTCTCAAAAAAGACCAAAAGAAAAAAGTACCTTGCAAGGGCAGGGTTGTGAGTTTGAGTGCCAATACCCAAACAAAACACAATGGAAAACAAAAATCAAAACAACCAGCAAATCAGCAGCAGCCCAAGTGGCCCAGAAGTGAGGGAGGGACCGTGAAGGGCTGGGGACAGAGGGCAGCTGGGCGCATCAAGGCTCCAGCGCGGAGGCCGCCAGTCGGCCCACGCGAGAGCGGGGCGGGGGTTGCAGGTGCTCACAGGGGTGGCAGGGGAGACACTGGAGGCTCAGAGATCAGCTCCTACGCATGCGCCGCCCTGTCTCTGCCTCCTGAGCCGCCGTGACCCCCCGGTCTCCTCCCAGATCCGCAGGTGCTGGGGTCACCCCAGGGCTGAGCTTCCCGCAGAGAGAGCCTCGGAGCTTCACTCGGGGCTCCAGCAACAGCGAAGCGGGCGGCGAGTGCGGCGCTCTCATGGTGCGCTCTCGAGGCTCTGGGTTCGAGTCCCGGTACCAGAAAACAACGACGACGACAACGAAGACTAAAACCTCAGCAAAGCACCACCGCGGGGCAGCACGCTCGGCGCGAGCCCCGCCCCCTTCCTCGTCTGTGTCTGGTTTTGTCGCTGTCCTTGCCGTTCTAAATCCCGATCTCGCTGCAGGACCCAGGCTGGCCCGCGCTCGCGGCGACCCTTCTGCCTCAGCCTCCCGGGCGCCGGGATTCCGCGTGCGCCACCGTGCCCGGCTCTCGTGCACACCGGAACACGGCAGTGAGCTGGGAACCTGGGCCTGGGGATCGCGCCCTGTCGGTGATCAATACGCCCTTCCCTCCCGGCTCTGTGAGCCTCAGGTCGCCCCTCTGTCCCCGGGCCGCGCCTGCGCGCTGGGCCTCACCGCGCTCCTTCCGCTCGGGGAAGCCGTAGTCGGGCGGGAAGCTGGGCATGTGCAGCGGGTCGGGCTCCACCGAGGCATCCCCCAGGTAGCGTCGGCCCAGGTGGGCGCCCATGGCTGCTTCGCCGCCGCAGCGGGGTCACCTCACTCCGACCCGGAAGCACTGCCTCCTTCTCTGCCCTTGACTTCCGGGTCGCTCTGGCCGCGCGGCGAGTTTACGGATGAACCAGTGGAGGACTTGCTGGCGGCCTACTGCCCCCTGGCGGCCGGGCGGAGGCGGCGCCGGTACGGCTCTGCCGTGTTAGACTGCGGTTCCATCGCTAGGGAGAGGAGGCTCTGAGCCTAAAATCCATCTGTGTGCGGGACACGAAGCGGTGTGGGCCTGAGTCCAGAACACAGATGAAATAGTTATTTTTTAAAACAAAGCAAAAAGAAAAAAGCCATTATGTGGTGGCGCACACCTGTGATCTCAGCTCTCAGGAGGCAGAGACAGGATCGTCTCGATTTCAAGGCCAGTCTGGCTTACACACCCAGACCTTATCTCAAAAACAAAAACAGCCAGGCATGGTGACGGACGCCTGTAATTCCATCATTCGGGAGACTGAGGCAGGAGAATCATGAGTTCGAGGCTAGCCTGGAATACACAGCGAGACCCACTCTCAAAAAGACGAAACGAAACAAAACGAAACAAGACAGCGGACTGATTACGGTTATGTAGGAATGGGAGCGGAGAATCTCCGCTGCTCCGCCTCGCCCCTCTTCTGCTCCTGGAACTTCGGGCGAGCGGAACCTCGATAGCGAGGCGCGTGCGCCGCGGAGGAGTGGGGCCTCGGAACTGGCGCGGGGACCCAGGCTGCGGCGCATGCGTCAGAGGTGCGGCTGCGCAGGCGGAGATGGCTATAGCGGCTGCGGCGTGGCGCGCCCTCTAGCGAAGCCTAGGCTTAGGCGCGGCCCAGCCCAGCTCTGGGCCAGGGGTTTGGCTCTGCGAGCCGAGGCGCGGACGGCAGCGAGGTCGGGGCAAGCTCGAGGGGACCGCCCTCAACGAACGCGCAGGTCCGAGCCAGCTGCTCTGGGGTCCGCGCTGCAGAAGCACGGGGACCTGGGGAGGTGGCCAGCGGGGCGCCCAGGCAAGGTGGGGTCATAAAGAGTGGAGCAGAAGACAGCTGCCATGGGGAAACGCCCTCTGAGCACAGAATTGGCTACAGATGAGACTCTCCAGTTGAGTTATTATCGTCAAGATGGTGAAAGACAGCACTGCAGAAGAAACATGATAGACTTGGCAGTTTTCGCAGCAAAAGTTGCAGTCTGTGCAGTCACTCCTGCAGAGAAGTTTGATTTGATCTGGAACTCTGCTCCATCCTGGCCAGCATTTCCGTGTGCACTGCCTTGAAGGGAAGGTTCTGAGCCCTTTGATGGACCTCGGACGGGTACTGAACTCTGGGCCTCTGCGTTTATAAACATTCAGACCCGACGGGATGCTGCTGTTCATTTTGTGTCAGTACCATCTGCTAATGACTGCAGAAGTGGATTCCGAGGTTTCTGAATGTTAACTGAGACCTAGTGCATTGCCAGTCAAGCTCAGCGCTACTGTGAGACGTATGGTGTAAAGACCTGTGGGGTAAAGGAGACATTTCAGTTCAGACCAAATGAGTTCCAGTATATGTCTGTCATCGCTGGGTTGGAGCACAGCCGACTTGGAGTGAAACTGAAATATACCCACAACCAGGATGAGTCTTAGACCTATAAAGTTTGGCCCTTCATACAATCGCCTCAGCCCTGGATAGTATTAAACTCTGGGGTTGGGGGTTTAGCTCAACCGAGTAAGTGCCTCCCTTGCAAGTGTGAGGTCATGAGTTTGATCTCCAGTACTGGGAAAAAAGAAAGTCTCTCACTGGGTATGGTGGTGCACGCCTGTAATGCCAGCACTCGGAGGCTGAGGCAGGAGGATCGTTGGGAGTTTGAGACGAGCCTGGGCTACAAAGGAAGCTCAAGGCCAGCCTGGACTGCATGGAGAGACCCTGTCTACAAACAAACAACCACTCTGGCCCCTCTAGCATTTATAAGGAGCAGTCTCTAATGGGTTGTCCTGTGTGCTTATTGCAAGAAGTGATCCTGGACATGTGCACTGGGGCTATTGTTCTCTCTTGCATGATGGCCCGCCCTTGTGCTGTAGTGTGTACTTCTTTTCCTGTTTCTATGTGGTCCAAACTTGTTCTGCAGAACCTGTATCTTTTCTGACCTTTAATAAAACTGTGCCACTGTCTGAAAAAACAATACTTCAATATTGAGGAATAAAATTTCCCAAGTATTATACTAATTACTTCTCAGTGTTCTTTTTTTGTACTGGGAGTTGAACTCACTACTTTGTGCTTGCCAGGCAGGCCCTGTGCCACTGAGCTATATTCTGGGTCTATGCTCAGTACTCTTGAGGTTTTATTTTAAATGTTGTGGTAAGGAGGCAGCCAGGAATCTGCAGTTGTGACAGTTCATTTGATTTTATATAGTGTAACTGTAATAGATTTCAAAGCTGGGCATGCTGCCACATGCGTGTAACCCTAAGCACTCAGGAGGCTGAGGCAGGAAGATGCTTGTAGTTCAAGGACAGCCTGGAGCCCTTGTCTCAAAAAACAAAAAGCAAACACTGCATTTGTGTCATTAAGTGACAAGGGACTGTAGGTATTTAACTACTGACTGGCACTGTGTGGGCATCTGAAACTTCCCTGCTGAAGCTGCAGTCTTGCTCCTTGGAGGTCCCTGTCCTAACCCAGCTCCATCTTTCTGTCCCATCTGCCCAGGGCTGCAGACACCAAACCCTGGGAATTCCTTCGCTATAGTCTTTCATGCCAGGCATCCAGTTCATTGGCATATTTCTTTGTCTCCAATTTGAAATCTACCAAGAACACACGCATTGCCAGGCACGGTGCCTGGAGTCTCAGCGACTGTACTTGGGAGAGGCAGGAAGAGGATTGCAAGTCCGAGCTTAGCCTGGGTTTATTAGTCACTTTCCTGTCATTAGTATGAGATGGTCAGCATGAGGCAGGTGAAGGAGGTGAGGTGTTGGGAACCGCAAATTCACAGTGGCTAATTTTGCATACTTCCCTAAGGGAAAAACGGAGGCTTGGGAGTGTTGGTATCACCGTTTTGAGATTTCCACCTGCTCGCTATGTGACTCGCCTCCCCATTTGATCCTGATTTAATGTTACCTGAGTAATTACACTCCTAACTTTACTGATTGACCACAGTTCTGTCCCACCTCATGCCTCCCTGCGTTGGGAGTTCCCATTTCTTGGACTCATCTCACCTGTGGTTTAGCTCTATAAAAATCCCGGGGTGCGGGAATCCCTGGAAAACACAAGTGTGTTTGGCAACCCACGTGGGACCCTTTCTGTTTCTATCTCAGAAGCTTTCTTTTTTTCAATAAATATATTCTGCTCTTAAAAAAAATCCCATTAGCCCTTTGGGGATGGCCCATCCTCTTCCACACCAAGACTTAACTAAAATAATAAGATTGAGAAACACTCCAGGGCTAGATCCTTTTTAGCATAAAATCACCTCTGCCCTTTTGCGGCATCCCAGGATTATTTCTTGCCTGCTAAAACACGGCCCTTGCGCCTTCCTAGCCCTGCCTATCACGGTACAGGAGGGCGTTTGTACCGGTCCTGAGGCACTGCCAGCCTGCCTTCATACGTTCCTGGGTTTGTCTCTGCTTCTTTTCTCATCCTTTTGTCTGTGTGCCTCATCCGGACAGTTGGGGATCGTGGCCAGGTCCCTGGTAGCGGGGTCTGTTTGGTCTTGTGGTTTATAGAGGGTTCAGCCTACAGCTGAAGGCTTGGAGGCAGACACCCGGTGGAAGGGCACGGCAGGAATAGCGGTGCGCCTGGCAGCCAGGAAGCAGAGGGACCGGGCCAGCCGAAGCAGCCTGGAGGGACGGGACTTGAGTTTGCAGGCACAGTCGACTGAGGCTCTGCCTGGAAAGTGCCAAAGGTGGGCCAAGAGAGGGTAACCCAGGGCCAGCTGCCAGCCGCCTGGGCCCCTAGCAGTGGGACGCAGGGTCCTCAAGTCCTGGGAGGTGGAGAAGGAATGAGCCTCAGGGGCCGGGAAGGGGGACCCTGGGCTTTCCTGGCTTTGATGTTTAACCGTTTTTGAGGCAGCTGTGGCGGTCCACGCCTGTCATCCCAGCGCTGTGGGAGGGTAAGGCTGGGGAGATGGAAATTTCCAGCCCAGTCTGGGCAACCTGGTGTCTTAGCGAAAGGCTGTCTCAAAAAGGACTGGGGTGTAGCTCAGTGTGAAGGCCCTGGTTGCAATCTAGCAAAGATTTGAAAACAAATCTTTTTTGGAGACAGGCCGAAACATTCTAACTGGCCCCAGCCCCCGTTGGTGGGGCCGGGTCCTAAGCGCCTTCCTGCGGCCTCTGCGGCCTGGCTCTCCGGCGCCACCTGGTGGCCACGTGGAGATGGCTGCGGCGGCCGGGCTCCCACGAGGTCCCCTCTGGGGGTCCGTGGTCTTGCATGGGGCCGGTTGCGGCGAGACCTGTTAGACTATGAATCTCTGAAATGATTTAATGTTTTATAAATAATAATTCTTTACGGAACTAAGATTGAGCCCAAGGCTTTCATGCTAAGCTGCACCCCAGCCCTCATAAAATTTTGACACAGGGTCTCAAGTTAATCACCAAGACTGGGCTGGGACTTGTGATCCTCTTGCCTTTGGCTCCCACGCAGATTAGGAACCATAGTCTCCCCACCTCACCTCCCTCTTCCCCTCCTCTTTTTGTATTTTTGAGATAGGGTTTTGGTAAGCCGAGGCTGGACTCGAACTGGTAGCAATCCTCCTGCCTTGGCCTCCCCAGTGCTGGGATTCCAGGCGTGTGTCACTGCACGCTAAGAATCCTTGTGTTAACTGTAATAACTCGGACCCCGGTATAAAATCCAAGGAAGCAAGAGACTGAAATTTGGGGAGCAAAGGCTTTACTGGCCAGGCCTGGTGACGAGTCTCCGGGAGCCAATTTGGAGACTGCATGCCAGAGACTGAAGGGAGGACTTTAAAAAGAGGCCGGAGGAAAAGGGAGGGGGAGAAACAAAGAAACCTGCAGAGCCATCAAACTTGTTGACCCCAATCTGGAAACTGTAAAGCTGCCCACTTAGTTCTGACAACCTCGGGAGCCTTTGGCACCTTTTGAGTTACTCCCATCCTGCAGATAAGCATTATCTG